GACAGGTTTTAAATGTAACTTTCAGCAAATAATCAATGGAGGTAACTTCCTTGGCAAACACAATAATGGCTAAAACTCAGATTTACAAATGTTAAGCTAAAACCAGGTGTGGTAGTAGATGAGACTCATCCATAACTTGTACTGAGCACCAATGGGTCAAGTACAACCTAAAACTGCCATTAACATTTAGAATCAACTGTTAGCAAAATATGTCATGACACATTAAATAGATTTCATTTAACTTTTTGAAAATAATCACTTAACACACATCTATAGCCGATTTAACTTTTAGAGACAACTCAATTAACGACGGCCGCCACTGCCAACCAACCTTAGAAAACACAAAAGTGGGTACACCTCGGAAAATTGTATAGATATTGAACTAAAATTTGTTGTCCTAGTAGAAGAGCATCATACACAACACATACATTGACAACAACACTTTTGCGCGATATCTTTACGCAAAACTTTGACGTTAACTGCTGGAGTTAACCCCGTTTCTTAGCAAATTATCTCTTGAACCACTGTATGGATTTTAGTGAAACGCTCAGACAGTAATCACTACATGTACATGTATGAGGTCCTGTGTAATGTCATTTTCAAGGTATAAGCAAAATAGCTCTGTCATTTCTCTACACAAGAGGATTTCAGTCTAAAATGTTGGCATGAAAGAATGGAGTTTGTATGGTTTTTCTCCTTCAGTACTTGCATATCACACTGATTACCAGCATTTGAGACATATGGAAATAGCTGTTTTAATGACTTGCGCAGCTAACTGAGACACGTCTCTTTCTGTTTGTGTTGATAGTGCAAAAATAATATCTATATCTCCACACTCATTGTCCCCCCCCCCCCACACACACTCACTGGAGTGTTAACCTCATGCTGACACAGGACGCTCTCCGCTACAGGTGGCTAAACAATACCAGACTCTATTTGGAGGGCAGTTTACCCGGTGAGTGCAGGGAAATGACAGATCAATGAGATCCATCAGGTTTTTTTGGGTGCGCCGTACTGTTCTTGATCTTTCATATCCTACTCTACTTCTCTTGTTTACTCCAGTTTTACAGAGCCTATTTTTACCCCCACTTCTCTGAGGGCATATTCAAACACGGAACTGCAACTGGGTGCCTGCTTTGCGACCCAACACTCCGCTCACACTGTGCACTTGGTGTTGAAAGCAATCTGTTGTGTCAACTGCTTTACTGGGGCAACACAATTAGCTTTAGCCAAGTACTTCTCTACCAACATAGTGGCTCAGATCCTGCCTGATTCAACAGCATCCTCGTCTCAAAGTGCTGCCTTTTTAAGATTGGAGATGTGTTTTGGTTTAAAGGGGTCATTGGACATGAATGAACATGAGCACATCATTTAAATTTGCCAGATATAGATGTAAAGTAGCTGATTTTCTTCTGCAGTCCCAGGCAAGTTCCTTTTGTTTCTTATTGCGCCCTTTAAGGTTAGCTATAGTGGATCCATCTCCATCTATCCCAGCATCCTGCTTTGGTTCACCCCTGCTAATCCTCCTTCATTACATCCATGAACCTTTTCCATGGTTTTCCTCTTTTCCACGTTCAATGTTCTTTTGTCCAATAAGCTCAACAGCTTCATCTGTGCCACCTCTGGATCTACCTCCTGTCTTGGTGTTAACACTGCTATATCCAAACTACACATCAGAGCAGGTCTACCAACGATGTCCTGATCCAATTGAGGTTTTCTTTTTTCCCATTGATATCAGAGAAGCGGCCACACTCAGGATCTACTGTCCATGGCTTTATGTAAGCGGTGCCGGTTGCAACGGGATGGAAAATTGCTGGAATCTTTCAAGATTTTTCCATAGAATGTTAAGCTACGAAATTTTGTAAGTGTGTTAACTTTTTTATGGGTATTTGTTGAAACTCATGAGAATAAACAGGAAATTGGGATAATTTAAACAAACTATCATATCCATTCAAAAATATGAATATTTTCTTTTGTAGGCAGATGAGTTTGAACCACGGTTTATGAAATAAACTAATTTGATGTATAATTTGTGTATGATAACGTCACAGACAACATGATGGCGTCACAACCATCTTGGATCACACAACGTGCAAAGAACAACGACATTTTCAACGTTTTAACAGTTATCTCTTTTTGTTGTAGTAGTCCGCTTCTAAAGTCATGCATACAATTCTGAACAGATATATTATGCTTATCATGCTTTTTTGTCATTGCATTAACATAAGGAAAAAAAAACTAAAATCAATAACTGCATATTACAAAAAATCTTGAAATGTCTAAATTTATGTATAGAAAACGTCATATTTCATTCATTCAACCATCTTCCAAAATAGTTACGTTATTTGATCATTCTTTTAGCTTTTCTGTCATTTTATCCTCCATAAAATCAAATCAAAATGTAGTAAACTGCATTTAACAACAAATCTATTTACAACTCTAAACAAATCTGTATACGTATTATTTCCATCTCCCTACCTGTCCAAGTGACATAGATTTAAATTTGTCATGGAGTACCTCTTATTGTGTATCAAAGAAAACTGGTTGTTTTTACTCAAGATTATGCTAAAATATATATTTTTTCAATGGTATTTAAAATCCCTGTTAAAGACCAACCTTCCATAATTTAAATTCCAGGTTTACCATAAAATTCTTCCTATGAAAAATGATATTTGTTGTCATCATTGCATGCGCACGACTAATGCTGTCCTCAGCATTTAACCCATCACACACGTGAAATACTCACAAGTGGAACAACGGGCAGCTACTTAGGTGCCCAGGGAAAGCTTCCAACTTTGAAAACTGGAATTTAGTGACCCTATCTGCTCCACAGTATCGCAGCGTGTTCAAAGTATTTTAAAACACAAAATGAGGTTGGCTCGAAAATGAGACGCCAAATAGAAACTGTCAGATCAGCGAGTCGGAGGAACCACTGGGAAAATATTCAAACTGCGCTCGGTGTTGCAGCCGGTTTTAACCCTGCAGCCTTCTTGCTGTGAGGAAACTGCTTTAACCGCTGTACCCACTATGCCTCCGCATTATCTGTATTATATATTTTCTGGTTAAAGACAAGGACTAGGATTAATGGGTAAGAGCAATATATTAATTAGGCTATGAGATAATTTCCTGAGGATTTGGGTGTATGGTGTGACAAAGGAACCAAGTGACCCAGAGACCTAAAACTGTTCTTTATAGGACTACATTTCATTTCAACAGATTAGACCAAAGGATCAGAAGCTTAGAATGTGATTTTAACTTCTGTCCACGAAACTTAAGACGCTTTATTTTAGCTCTACGTTAGAGATTCTACTTATCTACAAAAGAATCATCCCTACAATGAAAACTCATTATAACATCATGAAGACCAATACCAAAATCCACCCTTTCCCCACTCATATAATGGTAATGTTTATTAAAATGGAAAAATTCGGAAGCAAAATTTGACTGGCTGCCAACATTCATCAAAGTGACTGAAAACATCCATGAAAGAACTGTCTGAGATGGTGATGGTTGGGCAGTGGTGGGCTGAAACTAAGTACAGGTACTTTGTTACTGTACTTAAGTACACTTTTCATGTATCTGTACATTACTTAAGTAGAGTTAAACTTGGGTTCTTTTGACGTTTACTCCACTAGATTTTATATTAATTATCTGTACTTTCTACTACACTACATTTCTATGATGTGTTGTGTTACAAGTTACATTCATACATTAAGTTGCATTCACGTTGCAGTTTTTTGATTTGTTTGTTTGTTAGTTTGAAAGTAAAGTTTGAAAGTAACCAATGGCGAGAGGGGAGTTGGTCCATTGAATCACGGCAAAGTGGGCAGGTAACGTTAGACCCACCTTCAAGAAGAGCTGGGCCAGTGAAGTATATTCTAGTATATACGTCATTGAGATGTAACAATGGATTCCAAAATGCATTCCATCGTGGAGAGTCAGCCAGAAGATACGCACCACCCATGGCCTTATTGAAAGACTATTGAAAGACTACTGAAAGACTATTGAAAGACTATTGAAAGACTATTCAGTACAGCAGAACAGATTTTATGTCCCAAAAGAGCCAGACTGGACTCAAAAACCTTTGAAAACCAACTTCTTCTGAACTTGAACAAGAAATTCTTGCTGCAATATTAAAATGTGTCAATTCATGGGATGTTAGGAGACGAGAGATGTTTCCAAATGGCTTGACAGTCGGGTCCAAGTTTTGAAAATTGCTTTGTGTTAAATAAAAAAACTTTTCCAAAGGTATAATCATTCCTCTCTTATTTTGCTTAATGGCATTTAACTCTGCATGTCATCCCTGCACAGAATCACAAGTCCAAGTGTGAACTGTGTCACAGAGTAAACACAATAAAAACATGTATTATCTGCAGCATCGTTCATTAAAATGGCTCAACACTATTAATGTATTACAGAAAATATACACACGGTAGACACACTTAATGACATTGCAGACCATTGCATTAGGTAATACATTCAGCAAGTACTTTTACTTTTAATACTTTAAGTATTTTTAAAAGCAAGTACTTATTTACTATTACTTCAGTAAAAACGTTAATGTGGTACTTCTACTTTTATAAGAGTACATTTCTGTCTGTTTATTTGTACTTTTACTTAAGTACAGTGTTTCGAGTACTTTCTCCAGAACTGTGGTTAGGGTACTGGTTCATATTTATCTTGATTTGTTGAGTAAAGCCTAGCTAAAGGTGCTTTGTTTACACTGGTTGCATACCCGCATTTCCAAATTACTTATCGATATATCTGGAAACCTACAGGAGTAAACTCCTTTCATCTGCACCATCTGATAAAGTTCCGGGTAACCGCATTTCTTATGTTTGATATACTTTGCAGTGGGTACCTTTTTTTTAAATGAAACATTGGGATGACTTTAAAAGCAGCAGCATGTGGGGGAAATGAACAATGGGTCTTGAGTCATGACAATGATGGTCACCATAAAGGGTGGGTTTGGGGATGGGGGCATCAGACCGGACTCTTACCATCGGGGTTGGCGCAGATGAAAACCCGGACGCTGCGCCCGATGGGGACATGGTTCGGCGGCAACGCGTGGATGTTGCCGCTGATGGCCGCCCTGCGCAGCGCCGACTCCCGCGGGCAGGGCTGCCTGCTCCCCACTCCCGACGGCCACATGGGAGGCGACTTCCAGCGTGGCTGTACACACACACGCACGGATACACACGCATAAACACGCACAGACAAGGTCACGTTAGCGCGCAACCAGGTGCGCAAACGGAGACTTTGGCATAGGTTCTCATACACACGGGGCGTTAAAGGCTTAGTTTTTAAAAAATAAATTTTACCATATAGGCTCAATTTTAAATGCTATTTAATCCAAAATGCTTTCGGAGCCATTTTGGATTTAAGGGTGTCCGCTTAGTTTACCAGATAAACACAAATCAATTGGTGACGTGCCTTAACGCCCATTGGTGCATACACCGACCACACCAGTCAAGTTGGGATGAATTTGCCAAAATCTTTTTTTTTTTTTTTTTGTTCTCTACACACAGTAGACTCAAAGCATCTGTACAAGGCATTCATGTGGATATTGTAATAATAGGATCTTACGCACAGCCTACTACCGTCATGGTGCATGCGTAATGTGTCTACATGTCCTTGGACGCATTCATGAATTTTCATGCCACTGTGGGACAAACAGACAGAACAGAACGAGACGAGACAAAACTCGAGCAAAAGGGCAAGCATCAGCCGTGTTCCCACCCCGGAGAAGATGCTTGTAAAAGGCGAATAACCGCTAAAAGGCAAAAGGTTATTCCGCCCAGGGAGGAGAGGGTGCCAAGAAGTCGCTGCTTCGGTTTTCCAGAGTTGAGTCTATCTTGAAAGCTTTGTTTCACAGATTGGAAAACCTCGAGGGGGGGGAAAAAAAAAAAATCAGAAAGCACAATTGGGAAAAGTTGGGTGAGTCCACTATTTGAGCCAATCCTCAAAACGGACAGCTCTAGAGAGGAGAGCCGCATCCACAGAGAGAGGAGTAGTGACGCTGGAGACAGGCACAACAGGAGGAGACTTCTTGTTGCTCACATTCATTCGCTTCATTTTGGAGCTTCCGGTAATATCCAAACGTGGAGGGCGGGAAGAGGAGGATAAAAACGCCCATTAGAGTGGCCGTGACCGAGAGGCAGCGTTAACGGTTAAAAGGACGTCGGCGCGCGCTCCTCGCAGCGTCCTGCTGCTTCTGCGAGCAGACTGAGGAGCTCTGAGAGCGGGAGAATATAAAGCTTCACCTGTGAGCGCGTGACATCCGGTTTGGGTTTTTCAAAATAAAACGCAGCTTTAATTTAAACTCGGAGTCGGCGTGCTATTATTTAAGAAGTAACGCAAAGATTGAATAGAAGTCTGCGAATAAATAAAACTGTGTCATGGCTGAGAGGATTATGTACGCAGCTTTCAGTTTGATGTACTCACCCAGACGTCGCTCTGCGGAGTGAAAATTTTACGTTGAAAAACGGTTACTTCCGGCAAGTTGCTCGGCGTTTTAATGTCCGACTTGAAGGAGCAGCGAGTTCGAAGAGATGCTGAGGACGTTCCGACTCCTTCTCCGTCACCTCCTCTGTGGTGGAGGGTGCAAACACAGCCCCTATTAAAATTGTAATGGACCGCGAAGTCAGCACTGTGTTGTCCTAAGTGACGTTACAACGGTTTCAAATTATCCACCTAACAAGACGTTAGGGTTGTAAAAACTCTGTTAATCTTACTTCACACAGCAAACATTCAATAAAGTTGAAAATAGGTTTAATTTTCCACAAACTCTCCTTATGGTTTGTGGTGGTTGCTCCCTACAAAATAGCCTACAATTCAATTCAGTTTATTTATATAGCACAAAATCACAACAGAAGTCCTCTCAGGGCACAGAAATATCCATATAGGGCTACATAAAAAGTAATAATATTAATTATAGGAGCAGACTGCTTTGAGTTTAACTTCATCTCATCTTGAGCAAGCACGAAGGCGACAGCGGGAAGGAAAAACTCTGTAATGAGGAAGAAACCTTAAGCAGAACCAGCCAGGACAAGCGGCCATCTGCTTCAACGGGTTGGGTTTGAGAGGAACAGGAAGGAAGAACAGATACACAATGGCAGGTTGATAATCACGTTAAGATAGAAATAATTTCAAATGCAAACTGTTTTGTTGTAACAATTTATTTAAAAAAATGAGGTACATTTGTCCTCTAGTAGTCTAAGCCTATAGCAGCAGAACAAGCCAATCCTAACTATAGGATTTATCAAAAAGGAAAACTTAAGCCCAGTCTGAAAACTGGACAATGTGTCAGCCTCACGGACAGAAACTGGAAGTTGGTTCCACAAGACAAGAGCCTGATAACTGAAAGATCTTCCTCCCATTTTGCTTTTGGAATCTCTAGGAACTGCAAGTAAGCCTGCAGTCTGAGAGCGAAGTGCTCCGTTAGGAAAATATGGAATAGTAAGATCTCAACTATAAGATGGACCTAGGTTATGGAGGGCTTTGTTTACAGCTAGCAAGAAGGCTTTTGCCATGTAAAAATTCCAGCTGTTTCCTAACTCAAATTTCCAATTTTTTAAGTCCGTTTTTGAAGCATAAACTGTACAAGCAATTATCATAGCTAAATGTAGCTTAAATTAAAGCCTGTGGGGTGCAAAGGGTGACACAGCATCCACTGACTGATGTTAGAAGACATGCATGTTCAAATGCATAGTTCAAGAATTGATTAAATATGTATATGTGTGTGTTTGTTATTAGTACCATAAACTCGTTAGGAACGCACATACACAAAGTTCAACTCTTACTCAGTCCAACAAATAATTTATTTTATAAATCTTTTTTCCATTTAGCACAAATGAGAAAATGTTGTATACATGTTAAAGCTGGACTAAGTTAGCTTGATTATGGCAAGACATTTGCATTTATGTAGCATGTTTTTAAAGTTAAGTCTCCTGCTGCCATTAGGTCATTTTACCCAAGGGCAGCTGGAGAGTTAAGATTAGAATGGCCATGCTTATATTTATTAGATTGAATGAATAAATAGAAATATGTCCCAGATAAGACTAGGTGTATAAATCTGACCGAGGCCTCAGGGTCATTTTGACCCAAGGGCATCAGGATGTTAAAATATGAACAAAATGTATGATTTTTTTCAAAAGGCATTTTGCTTGTTTGAGCAATGCACTTTGAATAATATACAATTATGTTCTCTAAGATGTGGACGTCTGGAAAGACTCATTTTTTTTTCATACTCGATATTCTTCTGGTAATTCTTTTGCAGACACTTTCAGGGGCATTTTATGATGGACTTAATTTAAATAAATCCTGTTGCAGAAAAAAAAAACATTTTACTTTAAAACGGTGCGTGTTTAACAGTTGTACTTTTTTAGTAAGGGCTAAATGAGTGGACGGAGGGAGCAGTAAAGAAGAAGAAAGAGGAGGGGTTTGAATTAATCGCTTTATCGATAAATGCACCTCTGCTCTGCAGCCTCTGGTTATTTGCGCTGGAGGTTTAAGTGCATTGGACTTGTACTAAATGGAATTGATTGCAGTGCTGCTCTTGTGAGGTGAGGGAAACGCTGAAGCACAGAGTTTTCTCCCCTTTCAGTCTCAGTGTTCAAGCATTTCTCTGAATCTGATGAGCTGTGTCACTTGACCTCAAAGTCCAACATTTTCACCTTTTTTAAATTTGGAAAGAAACAAGGAATAATCTATAGGCAAGTGTGTAAAGAATGCCCTAGAATTTCATCTAAAGTTTTCCAACTTTCGTCCACGTATCTCCCCTTTTACATGTTATGGATACAAAATATTTCAAATAACCAAGTCAAAGAGTTTCAGGGACACACTGATACTAATACAGTACAGTAACTTTGTGAATTGTATTACCTAAATAGAATAAAATTACATGACTTACTGCTGTGGGTCTTGATGATTCTGACTCTGCAGGTTCATGCTGATCCATTCAAAGTCACACTCCAGAATAAAGCTGAGGCGCCAGGGACTGGAGCTGTTCCCAACAGTGTTATGACCTTTCCTTACCTTGATTGTTCCTCTCCCTCTCATCAGCTGGATAACCATGGGTGCACCGACACTGGATATATGCACTGCAGTCTTTTCTTAATGATTTACTTTTATAGTGCCGGGTACAGTGATGTGATGAAGCAGTCAGCGTGTGGTTCAGTTTATGGTCTGTTTGAAAATATGAAGCCGAAACGTATGAATTATTACCTGCCATGTAAATAAAAAGGGCAGACATGCATGTTTTTGTATGCATTTGTTGTTAGTATGTTAACAAAATATCCCATGAACCACTGGATGGATTGTAATGAAGCTCTCAGAAATAATCGTCTCATCTTTTGGAGTCAGCCCAGTTCAAGATTGAGAAGCTAATCTGAAACACGAAAATGATTCAGGAAGTTGATTTTTTTACAGACACTGAGCTAAAATGTGGTGAGGTAGTAGCTGAGCGCCATCCCCATCACACACTCTTATTGCTAAAAAGATCATACGACATATCGCTACAATGACTGAGATTATGCGTGATTATATTTTTAAGGTTTCGCCAAAATGGGCACAGCACCATCATTTCAAGACATAAGATTATTTCAGCTTTAAACTACCTTGAAAGGCAGCAGGAAACGTGGATTTCTTCAAGGCCTTTAATTTTCTAAACGCTCTGCAGCTGTGGTTTTGGACCACTCCAAGACAAAATGAGTCATTGACAATGACAAGTGATGTGTCACCTGGTGGACACAGACACAGAGGACAGACACTGGCTGTTCACTTGGTATCCATACACACGTAAAAAGGCACAAAGAAACACACCGGCTACAAAGCATGCTGGTGATGGATGGTTGTTTCCTCAAAACAGCTGGAAGGAAACTGGGGGAGGAAAGGAAAACAGTTGGTAGGGTCTATTACTGGATGTTACCGTTTGGTACCACGATATTAACGCATCAGTTAAAACGCTTCCTGAACTAGTTTCCAGATTTGGAAGTCAGGTTTATTTAATGACAGATTACTTTTTTTTTTTTAAATAGAAACATTCAACAACAACCGGACACTGAAGTCAAGACGGTTGCATCAAATGTTCAATTTCACATTTGCAAATCGCAGTCCTAGAACAAAACCTGAAATAAAAAGTGCAATAGAAAACATCAAATTATAATCTATGAAAGTTCATGCTCAATAATCCAGGTAAAAAAACAAAATCCAACAAAGTTAAGTCAGGTCCTCTGGACGGTTTCTTTTTTAGTTGAAACATTTCATCCAAAGGACTTCATCAGTCCAAGGAGCCACAACAAACTCAGTCCCACAAGCAGCACACTCACATAGTGGGCCAACCAGTTCGATGGTGATAAGATGGTTTATGGAGTCTGCCCTCTCCCCCGTCGACTCCTCTGAGGCAGTCATGGCCAAAGTGGTTCAAAACATCAAAGTTCATGCTCAATAATCCAAATAGAAAATCTAACTGAGTTAAGAGAGGAGAGGGCAGACTCCAGGAACATAAGTGAGGGTGGTACATGAACTGCACCAGTCAGAGCCGGAAAGCACTACAGAGGGTGGTGCAAACGGCAGAGGACATCACTGGTAGAAGTCTCCACACCATCCAGGACATCTACCACAGCCGATGTCTGCGTAAAGCACGCTGCATCATTAAGGACCACACCCACCCAGCACAAGGACTCTTCTATCTACTACCCTCAGGCAGACGATACAGGAGCCTCCCATCGCATACAAAAAGACTAAAGGTCAGCAATTACCCACAAGCTGTCAGATTACTGAACTCTTGATAAATAACACTGAACAACTGGCACCAAGCCACATCTGTGACAACTAATTTGACTAATATCAGCTTGTGACAGCTAATATGCTTGTTTATTGCTGCTGCATTATGTGGCTGTATATGGGCTAATACTATCATGTATGATACAGCATCTATGTATTGATCTTACCATCATAATTCAATCTCAATGTCAATCACTACCTGTGCAATAAACCCGTCACACAACCTGTTAATTATGTACACTATATAAATATATGTATATAATATAGCTCATAGCTTTTTAGCTTATATT